CCCTGCCGGGGATGGGACATTCACAACCACCCTGGGCAGCCTGGGCCAGGCTCTCACCACCCTCACAGCCAAGAATTTCCTCCTCATGTCCAACCTCAGTCTCCCCTCATCCAGTTTTAATCCATCCCCCCTCATCCCATCCCTCCTGCCCTTGTCCCAAGCCCCTCCCCAGCTTTCCTGGAGCCCCCAGCCCTGTGTCCTGTATCCCCAGTGCTGTGTCTGGTGTCCCCAGCCTGTGTCCCATGTCCCCGGGACAGTGTTCCATCTCCCCAGCCCTGTGTCCTCAGCCTTGTGTCCTGTGTCCTCAAAACATGTGTCCCATGTCCCTGGCCATGTGTCTGTTTTGTCCAGTATCCCCAATCCCATGTCCCATGTCCCCAGCCCTGTGTCCCATGTCTCCAACTCTGTGTCCCATGTCCCCAACCCTGTGTCATGTCCCCAACCCTGTGCCCTGTATCCCCAATCCTGTGTCCCCAGCCCCATGTCCCCAACCCTTTCTCCTGTATCCTCAACCCCGTGTCCCATGTCCCCAGCCCCATGTCCCATGTCCCCAGCTTGTGTCCCATATCCCCAATCCCATGTCACCTGTTCCCAACCCCATGTCCCTTTACCCCAACCCTGTGTCCCCAACACTGTGTCCTGTACCCTCAACCCCATGTCCCGTGTCCCATGTCCCCAGCCTGTGTCCTGTATCCCCAGCCCATGTCCCTTGTCCCCAGCCCCGTGTCCCATGTCCCCAACCCCGTGTCCTGTATCCCCAAACCTTTGTCCCATGACCCCAACCCCATGTCTCCTGTCCCCAGCCCGTGTCCCGTGTCCCCAACCCCATGTCCCATGTCCCCAGCTGGTGTCCCATGACCCCAACCCCGTGTCCCATGTCCCCAATCCCATGCCCCTTGACCCCAACCCTGTGCCCCTTGTCCCCAACCCCGTGTCCCATGTCCCCAACCCCGTGTCCCATGTCCCCAATCCCATGCCCCTTGACCCCAACCCTGTGCCCCTTGTCCCCAACCCCGTGTCCCATGTCCCCAGCCCCGTGTCCCATGTCCCCAACCCTGTGTCCTGTATCCCCAAACCTTTGTCCCATGTCCCCAACCCCATGTCCCATGTCCCCAACCCTGTGTCCTGTATCCCCAAACCTTTGTCCCATGTCCCCAACCCCATGTCCCATGTCTCCAGTCCCATGTCCCTTGACCCCAACCCCATGTCCCATGTCCCCAACCTCGTGTCCCATGTCCCCAACCCCATGTCCCTTGTCCCCAACCCTGTGTCCCATGTCCCCAGCCCCGTGTCCCGTGTCCCCAACCCTGTGTCCTGTATCCCCAAACCTTTGTCCCATGTTCCCAACCCCATGTCCCATGTCCCCAACCCCATGTCTCCTGTCCCCAACCCCGTGTCCTGTACCCCGAACCCCATATCCCATGTCCCCAGCCTGTGTCCCTTTGTCCCCAACCCCATGTCCCATATCCCCAACCCCATGTCTCATGTCGCCAACCCTGTGTCCTGTATCCCCAAACCTTTGTCCTATGTCCCCAGCCCATGTCCCATGTCTCCAACCCCATGTCTCCTGTCCCCAACCCATGTCTTCTGTCCCCAACCCCGTGTCCCCTGTCCCCAGCCCATGTCCCCAGTCCCATGTCCCTTGACCCCAACCCCATGTCCCATGTCCCCAACCCCGTGTCCTGTACCCCCAACCCCATGTCCCGTGTCCCATGTCCTCAACCCTGTGTCCTGTATCCCCAAACCTTTGTCCCATGTCCCCAGCCCATGTCCCATGTCCCCAACCCCATGTCCCATGTCCCCAGCCCGTGTCCCGTGTCCCCAACCCCGTGTCCCATGTCCCCAGCCCATGTCCCATGTCCCCAACCCCATATCCCCTGTCCCCAGCCTGTGTCCTGCATCCCAGCCTGTGTCTGATGTCCCCAACCCTGTGTCCCATGTCCCCAGCCCGTGTCCCGTGTCCCCAACCCCGTGTCCCATGTCCCCAGCCCATGTCCCATGTCCCCAACCCCATATCCCCTGTCCCCAGCCTGTGTCCTGCATCCCAGCCTGTGTCTGATGTCCCCAACCCTGTGTCCCATGTCCCCAGCCCGTGTCCCGTGTCCCCAACCCCGTGTCCCATGTCCCCAGCCCATGTCCCATGTCCCCAACCCCATATCCCCTGTCCCCAGCCTGTGTCCTGCATCCCAGCCTGTGTCTGATGTCCCCAACCCTGTGTCCCATGTCCCCAGCCCGTGTCCCGTGTCCCCAACCCCGTGTCCCATGTCCCCAGCCCATGTCCCATGTCCCCAACCCCATATCCCCTGTCCCCAGCCTGTGTCCTGCATCCCAGCCTGTGTCTGATGTCCCCAACCCTGTGTCCCGTGTCCCCAACCCCATGTCCCCAGCCCGTGTCCCATGTCCCCAACCCCATGTCCCCTGTCCCCAGCCTGTGTCCTGCATCCCAGCCTGTGTCTGATGTCCCCAACCCTGTGTCCCATGTCCCCAACCCCATGTCCCATGTCCCCAGCCCGTGTCCCATGTCCCCAACCCCATGTCCCATGTCCCCAACCCCGTGTCCTATGTCCCCAACCCCATGTCCCATGTCCCCAGTCCCATATCCCTTGACCCCAACCCCATGTCCCATGTCCCCAGCCCGTGTCCCGTGTCCCCAACCCCGTGTCCTATGTCCCCAACCCCATGTCCCATGTCCCCAGTCCCATATCCCTTGACCCCAACCCCGTGTCCCATGTCCCCAACCCCGTGTCCTGTATCCCCAACCCCATGTCCCCTGTCCCCAGCCTGTGTCCTGCATCCCAGCCTGTGTCTGATGTCCCCAACCCTGTGTCCCATGTCCCCAACCCCATGTCCCATGTCCCCAGCCCGTGTCCCATGTCCCCAACCCCATGTCCCATGTCCCCAACCCCATATCCCTTGACCCCAACCCCGTGTCCCATGTCCCCAACCCCGTGTCCTGTATCCCCAACCCCATGTCCCGTGTCCCATGTCCTCAACCCTGTGTCCTGTATCCCCAAACCTTTGTCCCATGTCCCCAGCCCATGTCCCATGTCCCCAACCCCATGTCTCCTGTCCCCAACCCC